CTAAGTTATATTAAGAAAGTAGGTCATAGAGTTTCAGCCTTGTTTTCATTTTCTCCCAAATAAAAATAAATTCAGTAAACTTTCCTCATAAAAACCTCATACAACTCTGTGGTGGCAAGGTGACATTTGTGTGAAATATTACAGATGGTGAGAAGGATGACAAAAAGACCTCTGTGAGCTAGATCTAGGCACAGAAATACGAGATAACATAGGCATATTTAGTGATATGGTACAGTATCAGGTTGGCCAAGAAGTCCATTTAGTTTTTTCCATAAAATAAAAAGACACATTTTTCATTTTCACCAATAACTTTCTTGATTTGGATAGTCTGAGTATGTTGCTATCTCCTGCTCTTGGCTTCTAGTGGGTAGAAGCCAGGGGTGCTGCTCAACATCTTCCAAAGCATAAGACAGCCCCACAGCAAAGTACTACTTGGCCAAAGTGTCAACAGTACCAGAAACTTCGCAAACCACTTTTGACACATTCCATCCGTCACAGCACCTTCTCCATAAACTGCACAAATCTTTTTTTTGCATTTCAGTTGCATTTTTACCTTTCTTGAAATAATAAAGCATAATACGCAGAAAATGCTGCATATTTTCTCCCATCTTCAACATTAAAATGGCTACACAAAAATTCACCAGTTTTAATAAGTTTTTTTCAATGCATGCTGACATGACAGCTGTTCACAATTCAGCCTAACAAAACTGTTTCGAATGAACAGAAAGACAACTACTAGAATCATCGTACAGAAAAAAACAAACGAAATTTTTGGCCAACCCAGTATGACATCACAGCATGGGAAGAGTTAATACGCTTCCCAATGGGCCTACCTATGTCTTGCTCACCTAAAGAATTTGGTCACTTATTTATACTGGACTGGCTACTGAAAACAGCATCCTCAGTCTCTCCTTCACCAGGTAAAATTAAGTTTTCCCTTGTTAACAAAGACACACACCAGGAATCAGCACACCTGCTCCCTTGAACAGGCATCTGTTATTATGTCAAATGTTTGTATTCCCTAAGCTGGAAGAGAAAACACTTAGCCTTATTGTGGAATTCACAGGGAGTCCATAAAACCTACAACAGGCCCAAGCATTAGAGTACTTGATTCTTCCTCCATGATACATATTTGAGACATGAGCCTTTGCCAGAATGGCTGTCATTCAGTGCAATTAGAGTTTGTACAATCCTTCAAGTCATGGACGTTTTTAGGTGCACCACTATACAGAACCCACTAAATGATCTTTCTATTCTGAACTCATTCCTCTTGCCAACAAAAACAAGGATGTGTGTGTGGGCCAGTCAAAATGTGAGTCACACCAAGTTCCTGGGACACATATGACCAAAGTTCAGTCACAAACTGTGACAACACACCCACGTGAACCACTGACTCCAAGCCCACATTTCAGAAATAGAAGCTCTTCAAAGGGTACAGACTGGTACATGTTTCACTAAGACCCTCCTCTCCCCCCAAAAATGCCTAGCAAATGTGCAAACTTAAAACTCCTAGAAGGGCCCATTTTTTAAATCTAAAATCCAGTTGTTTGGTGTTCTAGATCCTTTAAGTTGGAAAAAAAATACTGAAGTAAAAGAACCTCTCACCACTTGGCTTTTTGAAATATTATCGACAAATGCCAAAGTGGCACCAATAATGACTATATTTAAAACAAAGAGTATAGAAGAAATAAGAGTCTGTATTTCGTAGGGTGGGTTAATTCAGTTCAGTTTTTTTAAGCCATTCGCGCCATTTAATGAAGGATCATTCTTTATGGTGGTGACATATGTGACAAAATTGTAAGCTTTTTGACAAGGGAAAAGGTTCTGACATGCACAGCAATGAATCTGAGAAACAAATGACATAATATACTACAGATGCAAGGAACTGCACAAGCCCAGAGGAGTTTTTGGATAGCGTCAACTCTTGGACAGTTTGATGACTGATTTGAGCATGAAATTCTCAACCTTTAGCAGAAGGTAAATGCTGGCCAAAGAGCAGACACTTTGTTCTCTTTATCCCCAAACAATACCCAGTGTCACTAACCTTAATAGCTTTGAATCTCATACTTAAACTCATCAGTTTAGCCATGGTTAAACTAATCATCATAATCATGGCTCCCTGAAAGATTTCACAATTGGCTGCTCAACTGTGATATATTTTTCCTCTCCATTTCCAAACTAATATGGCTTTCTAGGGAAATCTTTGGGAATTAAAAAGCTATCATTATGCAACATCTCTTGCCTGTGTTTTCACCATAAAGCAAGATTCCTTTAATAAAGAATCAAGACACAGACCCAAAGATGAATGCACATTCATTCATTAAGTCACTCATTCACTCAATTGTTTTGAAAGGTAATTAACATCAGGTCAGAAACATGTAATATCTTTGAAGGGATGGAATGATGAATGAGGTCCTTCAGTGAGCACTTTGAAAAATATGTTATTCGGGATATAGGTACTTATAAAAATGAGAGATAAAAAAATAAAAAAGTTCATTATAATGCAACACATTACCAACATAATCAACTTAAATGAACTACAAAAATGCAAATATTTCATGAATACGAAAGGCAGGTTCTAAAAAGAAGTCAGCTAGTCAGTAACTGGGGAAAAAATGACTTTGTTCTGATTTATCTCCTGCCAGTACTGAGTGACAAAGAGACTACAGACGCAGTGAAAGCACTCTCCCTCACTGAACTTGTTTCCAAAAATTGTCTATCATGCCCTTGAAATTAGGCACTATTGATCTGGAACTACAGTGTGCCCTACATTTCAAGTCCACCTTTGTCCACAAAGGCCATTATCCAATTGTTTTTAAGGAGATACCAGAACTATTGACAGTTGCTGGTCAAAGATAATTTAATCAAAATCCGAACATACCTTTCTCGGTAACAAACATCTTTCAAGTTTTGTCCTTTAAAAGTGCCATGTTTTACTCTACCACATCTGCTTCACAGACAAGGACCAAGAAAGAGGAATACTGGTTAAAAGTATGTAAAATGACTGTTATCACTCAAAAACCTGTTAATGAAATTTAAAGCTCTGGCATATTCAAGTCCTTAGGCCAGGATTAGTTTCTTGGGAAAAAGCATAAATCTGAATTTGGCACATCAGGATAAAATCCTAAAGATACTCTTTACTTGACTGGTTTTTGCAGCTCCATCTCAGGATATTACAAACTCCAGTTTGAACATTGTATCGGCCAGGGCTCCAGTGAGCTCACACCAGCCCACAGGAATTCCTCATCACCTCCTTCTCTTTCCTACTGGGAAATACAGTATGTTTTACGTGCTTCCTATAGAACATAAATAGAAAACGCTTGTCCACCAGTATTTCAGAGCCATTAGGAAATTTCTGTTCTGAATCTAAAATACAAACTAAAAATCAAAATTCTCTGGCCTTTCCAGTAAAGCACACCTTTCCTTTGCAAAAATCCTGCTTTTTCTATCCTGTGCTAATTAATTTTTTTCAGAAACTGAGAACAATATAGACCCAGGTGGTTTTATAAACAATGGCAAACAAAACATTTATTTCTAGCTCTGAAATTTTATTGTCATCTGGCTAGAAAGATAGAGAAACCCATCTATACAGTCCTGCACCTCCACACTTCCTGACTGGGTTTATTACATGTAATGTGGTGACTTCTTTCCTCATCTCCTGGAAATGCCCCTTCGCTCAGGCACTGGGGATGCAGCTTTTGACTCACAATGAAGTCCACGCCTGTTTCCTCCCAGACCTGGCAACAGAGGGATCCTCACTGTGAGGAACAGTAGTGAATGAAAAGGGAAACCTGACTCAGGAGCCTCAGCCCATCTATTTTTTTTCCTTCTATTAAAAAAAAAAAAAAAAAAAGGCCTCAGGCACTAATAATTGAGAGTTCTGAATCAGTTTGTAGTTAATTTTTTTCCCCAGAAAAATCAATCACACCCAGTGAGTGACCGGGGCACACGAATCTCCAAGCAGAAAAAAGAAAGGTTTGAAACAGGAAATAAACAAAAATAAAAATTTTATACTTCCAGTTCTCAAAATATCTTTTCCTCCGGGCAGGCAATTGCTTTCCTTAGTTACCAAAGTTGGACACTAAATGAAATCCTCATTCTATTGCTCTCTGCACTTCATATTGAAAGGAAGGATTTGTTTTGGTCCCACATGCTGAAAAAATGCATGTTCCTATAATTAAGAGTTTGTATGCCACGCCTTCTGCCATATTTCCCTGGTAAAACTCCCTTCTCTAAAAATGATCCCGGAGAACACAACTACCAGTCCTCATCCTTTTCTCAGCCACAGAACACAAATCTGAAGATTCTCAGCAACCTTCCTATTCCCTTCAGATCACAAAGTTGGCAACGAAAGGGATTATCGGTCAAAACCCTTTCGGTGAGTCTAAGAGTTGGAGTTTTAGAACAGTGGCCTCAAGAGACTATTTCCCGCTCCCCCCACCCCCGCAAGCTCCCAATGAATACACCCCAAGTGAATTTCTTACATCCTAACTGGACTACATAAAAAGATTTTTTATGTTGCTGTATAAGAATAATAATTATATACTTTCATTTAAATCACTATGTAAGAAGCCACATGGGAACTGAAAAAATAAAATTCTGTTCTCTCTCAAAGAGCACCATTTTTTAGTCAATACTTCATAAACTTTTTATGACATTTTTCAATAACACCCTCCACCCATTCACCTCCACCCCCTCACTTCTCTGATTGGGGTTCTCAAGTATTAGTGGCTACCAGGGTGTATATGGGGGGGGGTCTAAGGACACAGACAAGACATTAACATGATCGATCCTGGAGGTATTTTCACACAGAGGCTACTTGGGAGCCCCAGGAGTTAAACCCTATCACCACCACCCCCCAAAAGCGCTCGTTCCCATTGGAAAACAGGAGTAGGAAAAGGAAATCGACTCGGGGAGGAGGAGGCGCAGCTGCTACACCCAGCAGCAACCACACAACGGTGCCACTCCTCTCGGGTCTGAGAGGAGTCAAATGCCCTTACCTGGGGGGTGGAAGCGGCCGGCACTAGTTCCAAAAGTTCTGGTTCGCTTTCCCTCGCAGTTCAAAGCGCCAGCACGCTGGCCCCGCCGCAGGCTAGCAAACCTGAATCCAGTCCCGTCCCGCTCCCGCCGTCCCCACCCTCCGGGCCCTACACCAAGTCAGGAATCCGGGCAGACACCGAGCTGGGAGCTGACATCACTCCCCGTTCCAGGTACCTCCCCCTCCCACTGCCGCTCTCTCTCCTCCCCCCCTGCGGGAATTAGCCAAAGAGCGTTCGCAAGGGGGAGGGGCCGGCGGCGCCCCGGCTCCCGCTGATTGGGCCCGGGGACCGTCACTCAGAGGAGTCAACTAATTTTATACATTCCTCGCTGAGCCAGACTAGGGCTGGAAGTGGGTGTTGATGGAAAAAAAATGCTGCCTTTCCTGCTATCTCTAAGGAAAGGAGATGTACGGGGAAGAACCTTGCGGGTCGTGTTTTAAACTTTTCTTGGCGTATTTCCTACATCCCAGAACAGAAATGAAACTAACCCACCCAAACCCCCTTTTTAAGGAAAAACAATTGCCTCTATGTCACGGGCAAGTACGAGTCCGGCGGTGCGTGGAGCAGAAAATGGCTAGCTTTAAGTCAGGCAAATAAAGGAAAACGCCAGCTCACTCTGCTACCCTTTTATTTTGGGACTCCTGGCTGTTCCCGTAAATGGGAAATTTAGAACTTCAAAGACACTTCGGAAAAATTTGGAAAGCAAATGCTAGAAAAGGCGATCCAGCTCTGAATTGTTAACTTGTAGCGTTATCCGACCATGTGGCTGCTTTTGCTGTTAGCGATGAAAATTAATCACACCACGCGAGCTTCCAGGCAAATAAAATTGAACCTCTGAAATAAGAAAAATTACTATTTACCTTTTTCAGAACCTTTAAAGCTGCTGTTTTCATGCACAACTGAAAAGGAGGGGGACTCACAATTGAGCTGAACAAGCCACATGAGAATAATTACTGTTGAATGGAACCAATTGCAGAGACTGAGCTATCAATTAAGAATTAACTAACAATTTACCCTCGACAGATATCATGCTGTATAATCTCCTTGGCTAACAGAACAGAAAGATTCTCAGATGGTTTATTCAATTTACCTATCTGCTCCAAGGCAGAAATGAGTGGTGAAAAGTGGCTCTATTTATATGAGGTATAGGTAGCATATTATCCATCATCTTCTGGAAGTACAATGAATTACTGACTTTCTGTTGGTTTTTATCGTTTGTTTTTGACAGATGACAACATCATACATTTCACCGCTGTGCCAAAAATTGTAGAGAGATGAAGAGTCCAACACTGTGCCTCATTTAATCCTCACAACCATTGGGTAAAGTGAATATCATTAACCCTATTTTCACCTAAAAGTCAAAGGCTCAGCAATGTTACCTAAGTAAATTTCTCCAGAACACTCAGAATTGGAGTTGAAACCAAGATCAAGTTGACTCCAAAGCCATTTTTTCTCTTTACTTTAAAGCAGCGATGGCCCACAGTCTACATTCATTCCAACACTATACTGCTAAAAAAAAAAAAAAAAAAAAAAAAAATTCCACAGGCCCAGGCCAGTGCTCTTACAGACCCCCTTCATGTTATTACCATTGTCAGACCTACACCTTTCCAAGCTCCTACCTTATACTTCTCACTCCATTTTTCCCCAGCTTTGTACACCCCTCCTAGATGAGTTTTCAAAAACAGTGGTTTTGCCATCAACATCTTCCTCCCTAAATCAGGCCCCCCTTTTCTCCGCAATTTTGGTTAGCCATTTAAGTCTCCCTAATCTGGCATCTATTTACCTCTCCCACTTTATCTCCCACTTCGGTTCTGGGAAACACGCTTGATTCTCATCTCCTGGCCAAACTGGAAACCCCACTCTTCTGCGTGTAGGAGTTTGCTGTTGTTGTTATTGTTGTTATTCTTGTTGTTTGAAAAGAACTTTTAAGATCTACTCTCTCAGCAACTTTCAAATATATAGCGCAGTATTATTAATTATAGTCACCATGCTGTACTTTACATCCCCATGACTGTTTTATAACTGGAAGTTTATACCTTCTTGACCCCCTTTTGCGTGTTAAGCCCTGCCCTTCTCTCAATGCCTAATCAAAGCCTTTGTCCTCACCGTGCACTACAGTGGACAGGAAAAGGGCTTGGGGTCCACTGCCCAGTTCTGCTGCTTACTTGCTGTGTAACTTGGCCAAGTCACTAAAACATCCATCAGTTACCTCTTTTGTGAAATGGAATTGATAATACATCCAAGGTTATTGTAAGCTTTATTGAGATTGTACAAATGTGCAAATATATAGTTATATATGTCTAGCAATATACATTTTCTATGTTCCCAAACTCTGAAAAGCAACATCCATGCTTAGTATCTCTTTGTATTCCTTATACCCAATTCAAAGAAAAAACTCAATAAAATACAGGACAGAAATTGGATCGTTATATCACCTCTAACGCCCCTGCATTCCTTAAATAAACCAAACCCCAGATACCCCAAATAATCTTACAGCCAGAAACCATAATTATCTTTTTCTTTCTCTCTCCCTCTCCGTTTTGACCGCAGTCCTTCCCTGTTCTCGCTCTCCCACCATTTATGCAACAACCCTTCACCCTCTCAGATATGTTATGCCCCAACCACTTAACCTGCCCCTTAGCCACTCATCCTTCCCTCCCCACAGACTGGGACACACTTGTCTGTTGTGCCTGTTGACTGCCTTGCTCTCCCAAATGTTCTCTCACAGTGGCTGGGTGGCTACCAGTCATTCCTCCAGCCCCAGTCACAGGACGGCTACACTCAGGCTCAGGCTGTACGATCAGCAGCCGAAGATGGGGGAGGGAATGTCCCACCCCCATAGGGATGGCAGGATAGAATAACAGGAAGTTGCCTCCCATCCCCTCCACAGCTGGAGTGATAACAGCTGCCATCGGAGTCCGGAAAAACAAGACTCAAGAGGAAAGCTGAAAACTGGCCCAGGCTGGAGCAGTAGTGTTCAAATCAGGGGTTCCAAAGTGGGTCAGAGAGGAATCCATGCGCCAGATTTCAGGCTCCTTCTCCCCATCTTCTCCCCTCCCTCTTAATCTTTGACTGCAAGCCATTTATATATATATATATATATATATATATATATATATACACACACACACACACACACACACACACACACACACATATAGCATTGACTATTCACAATCCACTCTCTTTCAGTTCTGCCTTCTAGAGTAGCAGATTGCAGATTGACTGTTTTATTTACCCGCACCCCCAAACTGGTACACACATGAGGACACTCTCTGTACTTTGTTTAGATGCAGATACCGGGGAAGGCTCACCCAGCTCATCAAGGTCATGTCATTTGCCTGCTTGGTCTCTACAGGCTTCCAGCTGCAATTCTCCAAAGCACAGTCCTGATTACTCTAGACTCTTTTCAAAACACTTGAATGTCTCGCCTATTCCAAGGAACAAAGTCCCACACAGGCTCTTGCTAGGGCCTCAACCAACCTTTCTGAACTTATTATCACTCTGCTCCATATATCTGCACTGTGCAAACTGAATGACTCTACAACTATATTCCCATTTTTGACTATTTCTACTAAAATTCATCTCACAGGGTTGTTACGAGAATCTGACTAGATGTCATGCAAGATGACAGAGTAATCTTACTATGAGTAATCTTACTATGTTGCTTGACACATAGTAAGTCATTGGTAAACGGATTTCCCTTTTTCTAATGACATAAAACAATTATGGAAAACAATGACATAATTAGGCTTATGTCCCACACTGTAAGTGTCTTATAGTCCTTGAGGGCATCGTGCCAATTTTTTTCATCCTTGTGTCCTTTATGGGATTTAGAACCATGTGTTGTCCTATGGACCATCAATAAAAATTTAACAAATGAATGAATACCATCTTTTGTTTAAAAATTTCTAACCTGCTAAGGGCCAGGTCTTTAGAAATTCAGAAAGAACTGGACCAAAGTGGTGTTAAAGTGAGGCAGAATAGTAAGACGCTAGTAAAATCATTTGGTGAGTGGGAATGGGGAAACTGAGACAGACAGCTGAAGAAACTGGCCAAACAATTACAGCCAGATGCAGAAGGTCACCAGGGCAGAAAGCCCCAGGTGTCTAGCAATGGGCAAAACTAGTGCTGGACCGCGCCCCCAGGTGACCTTCCTCCCCTGGCATATCGCTGGGCATGCAGTGTAGACCCCCCCTGACCTCTCCTTCTGAGGAATAACACCTAGGCCTCCGTTGTATTTTAGCTCCAGGTCCAGGAAAGCAGCAAAACCAGGCAGGCAATGCCAGGACCAGCTGTGATGACTAGTGACCCCCTGCCCTGGCGCTGACTGATGATTCGAGACCATGACCCTGAAAAGGCACACCTGGAGAAGCCGATGACTATTCTGTTGAGATCCTTCCCTAAGACCTGCCCCAAACTCCCAGCCTCCAGACCAAAGAACCCAGCCTGTGCTCTTCTTCCCACTCCTGGGAGCATGGCTGTGCCTTTCCCTTCCTCCTCTTCTTCCCCGACAGGCATGCATCCCCTAAATTCTAATGTCCTCACCGAGACTTGCAAGACTTGCAGCCAGGAGGGCAATGAGCAGTGGCGGCTTGTCCCCCGCTAACCCCCGATGACTCTTTCTCCAAGGCCTCCTTTTCTCAGACTCTCCAGTGAGCAGACAGCAGCCCCGCCTGGGCTCACTTCTTTCCTACAACATTTTTAGAGAACGAAAGCAGCCCAGCCTCGCCTCTCTCCTGGTGCTCCTTCTATCCTAAGCCCTTCCTTGTTTCTCGGTCTCCACCTTTAATAAACGTACTGTCAAAATCACCTGGAATTGTGTTGTCGAGTCTTTCCTGCACAAAGTCAAGAACCCACATGCCACAGGCCGGCCCAAGGCAGACCTGCTCCGGACCCAGTCACTTACCCATAACACAAGGATCTGGGTGCCTCAGATTTTTCTCATCCCAGTCACGTCGCCAAACACAGTGAAGGTTGAACACATGGTATAAATCATGAACCCAGATTCAGATGAAACAAGCTTAGCTTTAGAATTCCTTCTAAAGGAAATTGCTGCTTATTCTGTCTGATTCTAAGTATGGCATTGCTGATAACCCAGACACAATTTTAATATCCTTTTGCTGGATACTAAGTCACTACTCAGCTA